CGTGCAGCCAGTCCGCCGCGTCGCGCATGACGCTGAGGGCCAGCATGTCCTCGGGCGAGGCGCGGGGCACCCTGAGTGCGGCTCCCAAGAGGCCTCCTCCTCCTCCTCCTCCTCCTCCTCCTCCTCCTCCTCCTCCTCCATTCCTTTCCCTTGTAAATAACTTCTCCCTGCCGCACCCCGAGGCCAGCTTTTAGGGCGGGCCAGGGCTTTTCGCCTGAGATTTCCTCACCACTGACTCTGAAGCTGAAACAGTGGCAACAGTTTCACTGATGGAGGGCGGGTCGTTTTCAAAATGTGGTTTTCGCCTTCGCGCTGCGCACATTCGTTTTCAACATTTGCCAGAGTTTCACGGATTGAAGGCGGCTCGTATTTCAAAATGTGGTTCTCGCCTTGGCGCAGCGCACATTCGTTTTCAACCTTTGCAAGAGCTTCACGGGTTGAGGGCGGGTCGTTTTCAAAATGTGGTTCTCGCCTTAGCGCGGCGCACATTCGTTTTCAGAACTTGCCAGAGTTTCACGGATTGAAGGCGGATCGTTTTCAACATGTGGTTCTCACCTTAGCGCGGCGCACATTCGTTTTTCAAAATTTGCCAGAGCTTCTCGGATTGAAGACGGCACTTTTTCAAAATGTGGCTCTCGCTTTAGCACCGCGCACATTCGTTTTAACAAGTTGCAAGAGGTTCACGGATTTCCATTTTCAACGTGCCAGAAATTGTGCTTTTGAACGATTCAGGATTATGCGGGTGCAATTGTTACGTTGATTCTCTGTGTTGAGGTCCTAGGAATGGCGTTCTGGCGCGATTCAGGATCGTCAAGACGCAGCAGTCACGTTGATCCGTGGCGCTGAATCTCGAAAACAATGTTTTGGCATGCTTCAGGGTCTTCAAACGGGTGTCTTCCAACGAGGCAGTTGGATCAATGGAACTGAACCGTTGTAGGGGCCTATGAAGCGGGAGCTTGGAGGGATGGTTTATTCCAACATCGTTGATGACTCTTGGGTTTACACTGGTCCTCCTCATCTCCCTCCTTATTTTCCTCGTCCTCCTCGTCCTCCTCCTCCTTCTCCTCCTCCTCCTCCTCCTCCTCCTCGTCCTCGTCCTTGTCCTCCTCTTCCTCCTCCTCCCTTTTCTCCTCGTCCTCCCATCCTATCGTACGTTGTCGCTCAGGCTTTGTTGTTCTCTCGGGGGAGCCTGGATTTGTTCCAGACGGCCGCTTGGGGCCCGAGTTGTGGCCCAATCGCCTGACATCCTCGCGTCGCGAAAAAAAACGGCGGGAGGTGTTTGGAAATGTCCCACGGACTGTCAAAAAACGGCTCGGGATGAACAAGGCAGTCGACGGGAAGGGGCCCCCAGAGAACTAGAAGGTGCACCAAGAAGGCAGAGTGAGGCCAGGGTGGAGGTGCCAGCGGGAAGCTCAAGAGACGCTGGGGTGATGCAGCAATCGGTGCGCATGAAACCTTTGGAGGTGATGGTGGCGGGACACTAGATTAAGGGAAACGCATGGTCAGGATATGCTGCGGTGCCGCAGAGAAGGAGAAGGGATCAGACAACGGGGCGAAAAGGACACTATCAGGGAACCCAAACTGGCAAAATGGGAGTATTCGCACAGAGCGCATATGGGACGCACACGCATAGGGCACACATGCAAGACATGATACGTGGGACTTCTACACTGTAAATACGCCCTGGTGTGTGTGTGTGTGGCCGCCTGGTGCACATGACGCTGGCATACACAATCGACTCCACGTAAATGCTGTCGATTTGTCAACATGAATTGCCACATGCAAAGCAACAGCGTCCACTAGGTTCTAGTGGGCAGCACCATCGCACTGAGCGCACGCGGAACGTTCCCTCGCATGCGCTGCGCTTCGACCCCCTGGACACCACCGTGTGCAAAGTGTTCTCCTGGAGACCTTCCCAGGCATGCGACGTCTGCTTCATTTTCCACACGGGGTCCCCCGAAGTCCCGCCCCTTTCCCCAGGCAGATTCTTTCATGCCGGGTCGTTCTTTGACGGTCCCTGGGCCAGGCGAGGGCCCCCGGAGGCCAAACAGTATCGAAACTCTCCCGTCGTGTTTTTTTTCCTCCGACGCGAACAGGTCTGGGTTGCGGGCGGGGCGGGCGCTGGGCGAGGAGCAGGGATTGTCGCGCAGCCTCGTCTCTGAAAGGGGGGTGCAGTGGCCGAAGCTGTACGCGAAAATCGGCCCAAGTGTGGCCGAAACAGGCACCCAGATTTTCCCGAACGCGCCAAGGTGTGGCCGAAGCTACTGTTTCGAAACCAAACAAGTTGTCGATCTCGACCACAATTTCTGCCACACTGATTTGGACGCCCGAGATGGCTACGGAAAAATGGGTACGATGCCCAACAACAGATGTTGTCCGAAAGCGACAGAGGCTGTTGGGCAGGCGAACTTGTCTCAAATGGACAACGTCCGCAGCGAAGCCGACAACGATTCCTGATCAAAATTGACAGGACTTGCTGTTAGTCTTCGTACCCCGTCTTTCCGTACCCTTGTCGACCATTGGAAACCATGCGTTCGGTCACAATTTCGAATACGTATTCGGCCATCTATTGTTTTCGGATCTATTTTTTGTCAGCAGGGGCAACGCGCACCGAGGGGGTTGGTCCGCCGACTGCAGTCCCGCGACACGGCACTCGAGGACGTGCTCGCCAGCGAATCGCGCACAGCCTGGGCCCACGACGACCACCTCGCCGGCGGCGCGCGCGCGAGGAGGAGGAGGAGGAGGAGGAGGAGGAGGAGGAGGAGGAGGAGGAGGAGGAGGAGGAGGAGGAGGAGGAGGAGGAGGAGGAGGAGGAGGAGGAGGAGGAGGAGGAGGAGGAGGAGGGCTGGGAGGATGGGGTGGGAGAACGGATCAGACCATCCATCTTACCGCGTATGCCGCGTCATCCTCATGCGAGGGGGGGGCCATCCTCATGCTGCATCTGCGGGGGACCTCGTCGGTCCCGTCGCGCCTCCAACCGCGTCGGATCCGTGTCGGATCCATCCGCGCGAATCCACGCCACATCCGCGTCGAGTCCGCATCGAGCCTGCGTCGGGCACACGAGAATGGAGATGGTGCTGCTTATACCGCCGCACCCCGTATCTTCCCAATCCCCCTTCCTCCCGGCCCGGCAACTCTCTTTCTCGGCGGGCGCGAGGGGGGCGGCCTCCTGAGAATGCGGGGGGGGGGCCTCTGCAGGGGCCCTGGGACACACAAATAAATACACACAAATAAACATATTCCCCATATTTCCCCATATTTTCTGGGTTTCTGTCTTCCCCCCCACTTCCCATACTTTCCCACACTTTCTAGGGAATCGACGATTAATTGTGTCTGTGTGTTTTTGTTCCCTCCTGAGCCTCTACGAAGGCAACGGCCATCTTCGAAGACACCTCCCGGCTTCTACCCGGAGACCTGGCTCCGGAACTGCCACAGAGCGGCCAAGCTCGGGAAACGCCGCAGGAAGATGGGCTCCGATCGCACTTTTCCCGCGCGGAGATCTATGCGGGCACCTATCTTGTAGTCCTGGGGCCCGAAAAGGGAAAGAAAACTCCCAGCGCGACAAAAAGCAAAACTTGGGCCGCGGGATAAGGCCGGGAGCTTCCAAGAAGGCCCCTGTGGCCTTCGCAGAGCCCCCCCCCCGCCTTCTCAAGGTTGGCGGCGCGCACCAGGGGGTAGGGGGAGGGAAGGCTTCTTAGGAGGAAGCTGCTCCTGAGAACGCGCGGGCCTGCATCTACAGAGAAGGCCCGCGCCTTCTAAGAACCAAGGGTGCTTCTCAGAAGCCTTCCCCCTCCCCCTACCCCCCTCTGCGCATGGCCGACAAAGGCCAGCCGCTCCACTCGCGCTACCACCGTGGGATGGGGAGTCGGCAAATACCGATACTGCTGCTCCCCGGGCCCCTCCCATGGCCCATTCGGACCAGCATTCCGAGACGAGTCCAGCGCTGCCGATGATATGCCGGTCCCCCAGAGAGAAGAAGAAACAACGCCATATATATATATATGTGTATATATATATGCATATATATATATATATAGATGTATAGATATATATAGTCGTTCATTTATTTGGCGCTCCGCGCGGATTATTTCTTGGATCTGCGCTGGACCCCCCTCCCTGGCGCACGGAGCGCGCCTGAGGCGGCGCCGGAGATGCTGCGGGGGGGCCCAGCGCGGATCCAAGAAAGCCGCGCGGAGCGCCAAACATTTATGTATACAAGGTTTTTCTTCGTCGACAAGAGGCACAAAAAAGGCGAACACACACACACACACAAACACTTTCCAATCCTCCAGCTTCCCAGGTTTGCCGCTCGGCGAAGGGACGGCTGCGGCATCGGTACCCTTTCCTCCCCTGATGTGCGCGACCGCCGACCTCGGCAGGCAGTCCTGCCGGGGAGACGCAAGACTCGAGTTTGGAGATCTCGAGCTGGCCTGGCGGGGCCGTCAGAAAAATGACGAGGCCAAATTTGAAATTTGACGCCAACTCTCGCTGCAAACAACCCGCGAACACCGGACCGCCCAAACTCGGGACGGGCCCGTCCAAAAGCTCAGGCACACCCGAACCCCTCGACCTGCACTTCCCGCAACTTCCACGCGGAAGGTGCCGCCGCGATGCGGTCTCGACGCTGGCCGCCGCTGCGGCGGCCGCGGCGGCGGCTGCGCCAGCGCGGCTCCTGCCGCGCGGAGGGTGCAGAAGGTGCAGGTCGAGGGATTCTGGTGAACTCGAGTCTTACGTTCCCCCAATCCTGCAGCACGGCCCTCGCGGCATCGCCCGCGGCCCTCTCGCCCTCGTACTGCCCGCGCAGCTGCTCGGCCTCGGCCGCCAAGCGCTCCACCTCCGCCGCGGCGGCCTCCGCCTGGGCCTTCCAGTCCACGGCCTCGTCCTCCGCCTCCTCCGCCGCTGCCTCCTCCTCGCTGACCTCCTCTCGGCTGCATTTCACATCGATCGTAAGGGTGCACATCTCAGGATGCACGGGCCTTGGAAGGCTGCGGGGGCACTTTTCAAGCTGGGCGCGGCCTGACGTCTAAGGGTGCACGATAAGGACGCAAGGGTCAACCTTGGAAGGTTGCCCACCTTTGCCAACCTTGGTATCCATATCTGCGGCCTCGCGGGCCGGGACCCTGGGCCTTGACCCCGAAGATGCGAGGCGTCGCGGATGCCCATCGCGGACCGTGTCCGTGCGACCGCGAATCCGCGGGATCTCGCCCCCGAATCCAGACCGCGAGGGCGCGGACACGTATATGTTCGCCGCTAGTGAGGTACGTGAGTCCACTTCAGTGCGAGTCGGTGATACGGGCGGGCGCGGTATCATGACGACGTCGACAACGGCAGACACAATGATGATGGTAGCGATACTGGTGACGACGATGCTCATGACGACGGCAAGACCAATGACGGCGCCGATGCTGATCACGCCGATGACGATGATGGTGTCCACGTGTCGCTGATAAAACATGTGACGGGATTTCGACATGCGCGCGCGGTCGACGCGCCCGAGTGGCCCGCATGGTACCTTTGATAGGGATCGTGCCCCCAAGCACGCACTCATAGGCATTCGAATGATTTCGACATGCGCGCGCAAGAAGCAATTCTGATCGCAGTTGACGCGCCTGTTCAAAACCGATGGTTGTCTTGAGGATTCGCAAGAGCGCGCGAACAGACTTCTCTTGGATGGGGAAACTCATGTTGCAAAACCATGTGTTCATGTTTACGCACGGATTCGGCATGGAAACGCGACGACGCACTCGTGTGCTCTACGCCGTATTTCGACAAGGGGTCCTGTTGATAAAGAGGTGTGCGCGCGTAATGCTTATTTTCCAAGGGATGCGGGGGGGAGGCCGAAACCGGTTTGCTGGGATCATACGAATTCAAACTATCATGAACAGCTGGGCGAAATCATCTGAAAATTGCACATCCCCAGAGGAGGGAGAAGTCCGGCCTCGGGAGGGCGGTGGGTCCTAGCTTTCTTCTAGAGGGGAGAATCTACGTGTTGCCATCTACGTGTTGCAGTCTGAGCTGTGCAACGTATATTGTGCAATCTAATGGGTGCCATCTAACGGCGGCGACGGGCGGTGATGGTAGCGACGGCGCGGCGACGGCGGCACCTCAGCCGCCAGACCGACAGACAGGCCAAGACGACGGTCGACGACGAGGCGGCCACGGGGTGGCGACGCAGGCAACATAGCCGCCAGACCGACAGCCAGGCAAAGACGACGGGCGACGACGAGGCGGCGACGGGGCAGCGACGGCGGCATCACAGCCGCCAGACCGGACACACGGCCCAGTTCCTGAGAGCAAAGTGTTTGTGAGTAGTCATCTATGTGTAAGCGTGTGTATATATACACATATCTATATACATGTGTGTGTGTGTTGCTTCTCTGCTGCAGCCGCTCCTCATCGCCCAGCGGCGGGGGGCTGGCGGCCCGCGGGCTGGCCGGCGAGGGGCTTGCCCGCGGCAGGTGCTGGCGCCCAGAGCCTGGGATGACGCCAACACGTACGCCAGCACCGATCCTGGCCAGGACGACCTTGCTGGGATTGGCGCGGGGGGTGCTGAAGGAAACTGGAAGCCTACAAGTGGAAGCCAAGGTGAGTTATAGCTGGTTAACCTGCGTGGCTTATACAAGGGGTCAAGAGTGCCCTAAGCGGCTTAGGGGTTAACGATCAAGGCTAAGTGGGCTCCGTCCACTTCGCGGAGACATGTAACCCCCCCTGAGCCACTTGGGAACGGCATGCTAGGCGCAGAATCGGTGTACGATCGGGTACTTTAAATCAGCGTGTCGCTGCGGCGGCCCCAGCGACAAATCAAGCGTAAACGTCAGAGCGACGAGCTCGGGTGTACAATCTTGTTTTCCCCGTAGACGATTTGTGGCCCAGAAAAGCTTCCAACCTCGCAAGCAACCGTCTCTGAACCAACTGTGTTCATAGAGCTCTCCATGCTAGTGTCCACCACATCTTCAGAATCATGGTCGACGGAAACGACCATGGACACCACAACATTGTTTGACCTCCTGTCTCCCGTGACCCCAGACATCGCTGCGCACATTTGTCCGAGGCCAAAGTCGGAAGACCATGCCCACACATCGCTACTAGGAACACTAGACACGGGAGTCGAATAATCATGCAACAAGACACTTCCACACTGCCGCAAGATACTAAACTCAACACATGCAAATGTACGGTCGTGAATTATCTCCCCGGAATGAAATTGTTGTGATTGGGCGGCCAGCAACTCTAATGAAACCTTTCGCTCGCGCGGACTGCGGCACTCTTGGAACAGAAGCTGTTCTAAATCCATTGTTGTTGCTCGGCCGAACGGTGCAAATCTTCGTGCAATGAGAAATCCCCTGCAAGCTTCATACTTAATCAAGTACGGTTTGCGGATGTGTCCCCTCTCCTCCCTTGCTCCATCTCGTCTCACCTGCTCGCCTTCAAAAAAGTCGGTGCCTGGGCTGGGTACCTTCGTTTCGCTTCGGGCAAGACGTTCCCTGAACCACTTGCTCGGAAACGCCGTCTGGAGGCTGAGGAGGAGGAGGAGGAGCAGGAGGAGGAGGGAGGAGGAGGAGGAGGAGGAGGAGGGAGGAGGAGGAGGGAGGAGGAGGAGGAGGAGGAGAGGAGGAGAGGAGGAGGAGGAGGAGGAGGAGGAGGAGGAGGAGGAGGAGGAGGGAGGAGGAGGAGGAGGAAAGGCACACGTCCGAACGACGCCAAGCGGAAGGGGCGGCCGTGGCTTGCCAGCGCCCCCGAGAAGGAGCCGCCGAGGCGTGGCGCGCCACCCGCGGGCGGCGGCTGCGCCCCGCCCTCGCGCCCCAGCAGCTGCCGCAGCTGCTCGGCGCCAGGCAGCTCGATGTGCGCGGGCGGGGGCACCTGGAGGGCACCTCCTCCCCCTCCTCCCTCCTTCTCCTCCTCCTCCTCCTCCTCCTCCTCCTCTCCTCCTCCTCCTCCTCCTCCTCCTCCTCCTCCTCCTCCTCCTCCTCCTCCTCCTCGCTCCTCCTCCTCCTCCTCCTCCTCCTCCTCCTCCTCCTCCTCCTCCTCCTCCCCGCAGGCGCAGCGTCAAGTGGAGAGCACCTGGAAGGCACGCTTGGCCCTCAGATCTGAACGGTGCCATCTTGTTCACGCTGGGCGTTTGCGTCAGGGGTCGGGCCCCGGGACCCTCACAGAATGCAGAGTGACCTCCGGTGCGGGCCCACCGGGGGCCCCCGATCGCCGAATGCGATGCGATAGTTGCGCCTTGCGCGTTTGGGTTTGGTGCCTCAGCGGCTCCCCGAAAGCCGCGCATCAAAGGTCACTCGTGCATTTGGTCACTCTTGCGTGTAGCCGACCCTCACAGATCGATCCAGCTCGGAAAATGACGCAGAAAGATGTGGTCCAGGGCTCCAGTCGTGACTTTTGGCGATGCTTCAACTTTTGTCGCAACGCCGGATCTCAAGGGAGGAGAAGCCCTGAGATCCGGGATGCATCGGCGACGATGCTCGATGCGAGGCCCGAGGTGCTCAACGTCGACGCCGCCGCTGTATCGCCGATGTCTGATCTGATCTGGTCGGATCTGAAGCCGGCGGCGGCGGCGGCGACGGCGACAACGCCGACGACGACGAGGACCTCGAGGACGAGGGCGAGGACAAGGACGACGACGACGACCACGAGGAGGACGAGGACGAGGGCGAGGACGAGGACGATCTGATCTGTCAATCCCAGCGTCTTCCTTTCTTCTCGGCCTCTGGGCTCCGCCTTCGGGCTCCAGGACCAGGACAACAAGTTACCGGGGGGGAGGGGTCGGGGAAGGGGTCTCGGGACCTCTGGGGCCGCGGAGGGCTCGAAGCGGTGCAGCGGCCGCACCATCGGGTGCGGCAGCGAGGATTCCCAGATCGCCATTCTTGCGCACTGGGCGTGTTCGCCCGGCTTCGGACCCCAGAACCATCACATCTCGATCCACGTCGACAAATGGAGCAGAAAGACGGGTCCGACTGGGGCTCTGGTCGTGATTGTTCTGCGATGTGGCACCGCCCCAGGCTACTCGGGAGGCCTGGTGAGGCCCACTGCGGCTACTTGGTGGGCTGTCTGTGCGCAACCCAAAGACTTACCAGGGGGAGAACCCGGGTTTCACGAAAGTTGTCCGCCGCTTATGGGCCCCCTGGGGGTAGGGGGGCACCAGTATCAGCACCCGCATCACCATCAACTGCATCAGCATCTGCATTAGCATTAGCATCACCATCAGCATCATTAGCATCCTCATCCTCATCAGCATCCTCATCATCATCAACATTATATTCATCATACTCGTCAGCAACATCATCATAATCAGCATCAGCATCGGCAACATCAGCATCAGCAGCAGAAGCAGCATCATCAGCAGCAGCATCAGCAGCAGCAGCACCATTATCACTATCATCACCATCATCATCATCAATCCCATCCTCTTCATGATTATCACCGACATCATCGTCCTCATTAGCATCAGCATCATCGTCTCCACCATCATCATTACCACCATCACCACCATAATCGTAAACCTCAACATGTAATCACCATCATCATCCTCATCCTCATCACAATCATCAAAAACACCAACATGAACATCAATCTCATCATCATCAACACCATCATCATAATCGTCATCTTCCGTGTCATCGTACTAGTAACCATCAGCATGGGCATCATCATCAGCATGGTTATCAGTATCGTCATTCTCAGCATCATCATCAACAGCAGCATCGTTAGTATCGCCTTCATAAGTATCACCATCATCATCACCATGATGACCAGCGCTATCATCGTCATCACCACCATCATCACCATCACCAACACCATCACGATCACAATCACCATCCTCATCACCATCACTATCATCATCAACATCAGCATCAGCATCGTCATCATCATCATCAACATCATCATCATCATAATCAGCATCAGCATCTTCATCATCAACATCAGCATCAGCAGCATCATCATCAGCAACACCTTCACCATCAGCATCATCATCACCATCATTATCGTCATCATCATCTTCATCATCAGCATCATAATCATAATCATAATCATAATCATCATCATCATCATCATCATCATCATCATCATCATCATCATCATCATCATCATCATCATCATCATCATCATCCCCTCCTCTTCCCCCGATTCGCATCACGCGACGGATCATCATTTCTGGCTCATGAGGGCCCTCCTCCGCAAGGCGGGGAAGCCGAACAAACAAAACGGCTCCAGGATGTGGAACGGCCAGAGGCCTCTGGGACCCGTTTTCCTGCCGAGATCGAGCGTTGCCACAAAATTGCAACATCGCCAAAAATCACGACCGCGGCCCTGGACCGCACCTTTCTGCATCATTCTTCGAGCTGGATCGGTCTGTGAGGGTCGGCTACACGCAAGAGGGACCCTAGGCAAGAGTGACCTTTGGTGCGCGGCTTTCGAGGAGCCGCTGGGGCACCAAACCCAAACGCGCAGGGCGCAGCTATCGCATCGCCTTCGGCGATCGGGGGCCCCGGTGGGCCCGCACCAAAAGCCACTCCGACGAGAGGTCACGCTGACGTGTTGCCGGCAGGGTGCCCGGGCCCGACGCCTGACGAAAAGGCCCAGTAGGAAAAAGTTGCGCCGCCCGGGTCAGAGCCCGCGGGTCGGCATCCGACGTCGCGCTTTGGTTCGCAACCTGGCCTGGGCCCCTTTCTACCGCGGACTGGCTTTTCCTATCCCTTGTCACGGCCCTGGAGCCCGTCATGAGCTCGATCTCAGGCTTGGCCGCCCCGGTACATCGCCGTGACGAAAGTTGCTTTCAATTTGCCTCTTGGAATGACGCGCTCGTGCGGAGTAGTTCGGAGTAGTTCTACCAAAACTACTCCGCGCGCAGTCGCATCCCGCTCGGTAATTTTTATGGTTTGGCGCGGAGCAGTTTCCGATCCCGTTTTGGGGTAACAGAGTTATTAACGTCTCCGGGATCGGAAACCACTCCGCCGAATGATCCCAGCATCATGTCATGTTAGGAATCTTGAGAGTGATGGGAGAAATCTTCATCATAACAAATTGAAGACACTTTTGTCACGGCTGTGTACGCAACACGCAGCCCGTAGCGTGCTGACACGGAGCTCGGCACGCAGATCGAAAGCGTGGGTCGGGCGCGACACGTTCGCCCAAACGTGGGTCAGCGCATCGAGCCAACACGCGGCGTGCTCACGCGGATGTCTCGAGCACGGCACGTCTTGCGTTTCAACACGGGCGTATCATCGGGAGCGGCCAAGAGGGGGGTGTCCAAGACGGGGGGGGTGCAAATCATGACCGGCGGCATGTGCGCGGCCCAGCGGGGAGGCCAGGGACGTAATGAAATAAGAAGAGGCGCCATGAAATCTGGGGAAATATCATGGCCCCCGCCATGATATCCCCTCCCCCTAGTCATCACCCCCCTCGATTTCCGCCCCCGAGCGTATCAGGGCAACTAAAATCTCAGGGGCCCCCTCGGGGAAGCCGAAAGCTGCCAAACGCGTTCCGTGCCGCGGCTTCTCCGCGACGCGACGACATCCGCCGGCATGATCTTCTGAACCCGCGGCCCCTGCAGAGCTAAGACGAAGCCAGGACGAAAATCAAATTCGGGTGAGGAGAAGCCGAGAATCTCTGAGATCCAGAGGCTCTTGAGGAAGCCTCGGGCGCCGCGGCCTTCTCAGAGCGTTCCAGGACGGATTTATCCTCGTCCCAGCCCCGTCCGCTGCAGATATCCGTCTGGGAAAAGAAAACGGAAATCAGATACACAACAACAGAAATCGGATCCGCGCGAGTGGAAATTTGATCAACCACAACTTAAAACCAAAACAAATTCGGATCCAAACCAACTTAATTAGAGGCATCCTAGATGAGGTCCAAGTAGATGGTGTCTGAGGATCGCGCCGCATCGCCGATACATCGGCGATGCATCGGCGATGCACTGGCGATGCATCGTGGACGTGTGCGGTGCATCGGTGACGCTGGCGTGAAGAAAATCGGGCTCCGCATCGCGCCGCATCGCCGATGCATCGGCGATGCGGCGCGATCCTCCGATCCCATCTACTCGAACCCCATCTGGGAGGCCTAGATTAATTGGATCCTCCAAGGCTTATTTCATGCGCGCTGGCACAAGACATGAAGGAATCATGTCCAGGCCCATGAAGAACACAACTTCGTCCTGGGGATGGATTCCCCGGGACCCGCTCTTCATCCCGAATCGTCTTTCGGCCGGTCCTCCAGGCCTGGCGGGGAGGGGCCCACTGGCAGAGAATAAAAACCGTCCGCCGTGATATGTGCAGAGGGGGGCAGGGGGAGGGGCGGAAGGTTTCTGAGGGGCACCCCCGCTTCTTAGCGGGCACGGGCCCTACCTGTAGATGCAACGCCGGCGCCTTCCAAGACGAACCAGCCTGCTCCTGAGAGGCCCCCGCACCCCCTGCACCCCTGTCTGCGCGCCGCCAAACCCTCTCTTCGGGGGCGGAAAGATACGGATACGTGTTGTCCCCGGACCTCTCTTGGGGTGCGTTCTGACCAGAATTTCGAGGCGAATCCAGCGGTGACAGCGAGGATTCCCCAGGAGGACCAGGAAAGGCCGAAAACGACGGGGGACAACACGCATCCGTATCTGTTTCTCCCCCGAAAACCCTATCGGGTACCTTACGCGACGCGGGCGCCTCGTCGGGGCCCAGCGGGAAGGCGGCGAAGGACAGCATCGGCGACGAGCACGCGTCGCGCACGTCCTCGCGCCGCCGCGCCGCCTCGGCGCGCAGCCGCCGCAGCTCCTCCGAGGTGCCGGCCAGCTGCTGGCTCAGCTGGCCCATCCGCTCGTGGGCCTGCTGCAACGCCTCCTCGAGGAGGTCCCAAGCTGGGAATCGCACGCGTTATATATATATATATAATATATATATATATATATATATATATATATATATATATATATATATATATATATAATATATATAATCCTTCTACCTATCAAATTACAAGGAAAAACCCGGCATGTCACCGACACCCCCCCCCACATGGACCCCAGATGAACCCCACAGGCTCCCAAGAGAGCCCCACAATGCTTCGAGACGGCCCAAAATACCCCGAAGAGAGCGACACGAGGCCTACATCGGGAGCCCAAGACAGCAGAAGGCACTTCCGAGACGTCCTCTGCAAGGCCCAAGAGGCCCCAAGACGGCCCCATAGTGCTCCAACAGGACCAAACATGGGCTCAAGACTGTCCAGGATGCCCCCGCAAAGACCTCCAACACGGCCTCAGCAGGCCAAAAACCTTAATTTTCCATTTATTTTTGAACGATTCTGTGCTTCTCGCCTTTTCTGGCCACGAACGGCCCAATAATGATCTGCGAGCTTCCGAGGTCGCCCCGAAATGGCTTCCAGGCGGCCCAATGGGGCCCCAAGATGGGTCAATAAAGCGCAAAGAAAGCCAGGGAGCGCCCAAGAGACCCCTAAAAGACCCCCAAGAGGGCTCCAACAGAGTCACGGGATGCTTCAGAGAGGGCCCGAGAGAGCCCCAACACGGCCCCAGGACGGCCCAAGCCCCCCCAGACAGCCCACGAGGGCCCCAGGACAGCCCAAGAAGGCCCTCCGATGGTATACAAAAGCACCAACAGGAGCTCCACTCAGTCTTAGAGCCGTCAAATTCTTTACACTCTGATTGACCTGAGCGGCCCCCCCCATCGCCCCTAGTTCTTCTCAACCTCGCCCCAAGACGGCACATGAGGCCCTGCAGACATCCCCACTAGAGCCCAAGAGGGTTCCAAGATAACTCTCGGCATGACCTACTCGGACGTCCGACAGCCCATCTCTCGTCCTTCTCTACCTCCTCCTCCTCCGTTTCCCCCTCTCTGCCCCTCATCCCCTCCTCAACCTCCTTCTTCCCTCGAACTCGTCGCCTTCCTCCTCCTCCTCGTCCTCCTCCTCCTCCTCCATCGCCCTCTCCTCATTTGCCTCCACCGACTCCGGGATACGAAAACTGATACTCATTTTCTCAGGAGGTTTTCTCCTGATCCTCCTCCAGCTGCTCCTTCGAGGCTCTGAAGACATCCCCAAGAAAGTCCAAGAAGGTTCCAACCTAACTCTCGACACCAACTCTTCGGAAATCTCCTCTTTCGAGGCTCTAAAGACATCCCCAAGAAAGTCCAAGAAGGTTCCAACCTAACTCTCGACACCAACTCTTCGGAAATCTCCTCCCAACCTCCTTCTGCTGCTCCTCCTCCTCCGGCTCTTTATCCTCCTGCTCCTCTTGCTCCTCCTGTAGTTCGTTGTCTTCCTCCTCCGCTGCCTCGTCAAAAGCCCCAGACCACATACTCTTATCACAAGCTCCCCAAAAGCAACCAGGGGTGCCAAGACAGACCAAGGGGGCTCCGAAGAGGGCCCACGACAGGCTTCCAGGGTCCGGGGAACCACAATTTGATGCGCAGTTCTCCTTTCGTCTCAGGAGCCCACGGAACACTCGCGAGAACTAAAACATACCCCAGACCCCAGACTGCTATCACCAGCTCCCCTGAAGAACCCACGAGACTCCTGGACGGTCCAAGAAGACCCCACCACGGGCCTACGACAAGGCTTCCTCTTGCTCTTCCTCCTCCTGCTCCTCTCTCTCCTGTAGTTCGCTGTCTTCCTTCTCCGCTGCCTTCTGAAGGGCCCCAGATCTGAGACTCATATCCAAGCTCACCAAAGACACCAAGGCGCCACAAGACACACCTCGGGGGCCCCAAAGAGATCCCACGACAGGCTTCCAGGGTCCGGGGAACCACAATTTGATGCGCAGTTCTCCTTTCGTCTCAGGAGCCCACGGAACACTCGCGAGAACTAAAACATACCCCAGACCCCAGACTGCTATCACCAGCTCCCCTGAAGAACCCACGAGACTCCTGGACGGTCCAAGAAGACCCCACCACGGGCCTACGACAAGGCTTCCTCTTGCTCTTCCTCCTCCTGCTCCTCTCTCTCCTGTAGTTCGCTGTCTTCCTTCTCCGCTGCCTTCTGAAGGGCCCCAGATCTGAGACTCATATCCAAGCTCCCCAAAGACACCAAGGCGCCACAGGACACACCTCGGGGGCCCCAAAGAGATCCCACGACAGGCTTCCAGGGTCTGGGGAACCACAATTTGATGCGTAGTTCTCCTTCCGTCTCAGAAGCCCACGGAACACTCGCGAGAACTAAAACATACCCCAGACCCCAGACTGCTATCACCAGCTCCCCTGAAGAACCCACGAGACTCCTGGACGGTCCAAGAAGACCCCACCACGGGCCTACGACAAGGCTTCCTCTTGCTCTTCCTCCTCCTGCTCCTCTCTCTCCTGTAGTTCGCTGTCTTCCTTCTGCGCTGCCTTCTGAAGGGCCCCAGATCTGAGACTCATATCCAAGCTCCCCAAAGACACCAAGGCGCCACAAGACACACCTCGGGGGCCCCAAAGAGATCCCACGACAGGCTTCCAAGGTCTGGGGAACCACAATTTGATGCGCAGTTCTCCTCTCGTCTCAGAAGCCCACAGAACACTCGCGAAAACTAAAACATACCCCAGACCCCAGACTGCTATCACCAGCTCCCCTGACGAACCCACGAGACTCCTGGACGGCCCAAGAAGACCCCACCACGGGCCTACAACAAGGTTTCCTCTTGCTCTTCCTCCTCCTGCTCCTCTCTCTCCTGTAGTTCGCTGTCTTCCTTCTGCGCTGCCTTCTGAAGGGCCCCAGATCTGAGACTCATATCCAAGCCCCCCAAAGACACCAAGGCGCCACAAGACACACCTCGGGGGCCCCAAAGAGATCCCAAGACAGGCTTTCAAGGTCTGGGGAACCACAATTTGATGCGCAGTTCTCCTTCCGTCTCAGAAGCCCACGGAACACTCGCGAGAACTAAAACATACCCCAGACCCCAGACTGCTATCACCAGCTCACCTGAAGAACCCACGAGACTCCTGGACGGTCCAAGAAGACCCCACCACGGGCCTACGACCAGGCTTCCTCTTGCTCATCCTCCTCCTGCTCCTCTCTCTCCTGTAGTTCGCTGTCTTGCTTCTCCGCTGCCTTCTGAAGGGCCCCAGATCTGAGACTCATATCCAAGCTCCCCAAAGACACCAAGGCGCCACAAGACACACCTCGGGGGCCCCAACGAGATCCCACGACAGGCTTGAAGGGTCTGGGGAACCACAATTTGATGCGCAGTTTCCCTCTCGTCTCAGAAGCCCACCTCCTTTGTCTCCTCTTTCTCCCTCTCCTCGTCCTCCTTTTCCTCCCTCTGTCCACCTTTCTCCTCCGCCGCACTCTGCTGGTCCTCCTCCTCCTCCTCCTCTCCTCTCTCCCCCCTCACCGACTTCTTATACTCTTCCTTCAGAGAGCCCGGGAACTAAAATATAATGCTCAGTTTTCCTTCAAGCTCCCCTCACCTCGTCCTCCACATCCTCCCCTTCTCCCGCTTCCCCTCCACCATGTTGCTTCATTTTCAGTACACTCCGACGCGTTGGCTCGAAGTGCGTAGATCTCCCATTCTTGGGATGGGCATATGTACACCGTGACCATTTGCTTTGCGCCATGGGCCCCAAGCGGGCAGCATGCTTTACGTGCTCTGTCTGCGAGGCCGACCTGCCGCGCGACTCGTTCACACCTAACCAGCTAAACAAAGCCACGAAGACTTGCAAAGAATGCGCCACACGGGCATCTTTTACGTGCTCGGTGTGCACGACCGACCTTCCGCGCCACTCTTTCACACCCACTCAGCTACACAAAGCCACAAAGACTTGCAAAGCATGCGCCGCCCTCCAAAACAAACCTGCGGTGGCCTTGCCGTGTGCTCGCTGTCACGAGGAGCTCGCCCCCGAGGACTTCGCAGTTCGACACCGACACAGAACCGAGAGAATTTGCAAGGCATGTGTTGCGCAGCCAGCTTCATTTTGTGTCTGTGCTCGATGCGGAGAAGCATTACCGCTGGGCGATTTTGCTCCCAGATGGCACGCCCGCAACCAGAAGATATGCCGACACTGCTGTCCACCAGGACGCCCGGAGGACGCCTGTTCCCGAATCGATTTGGGTGCCATGACGCACACATGCATCCATTGCTCCGCAAAGCTGTTCCACTGTGAAGGCGATGGTTTCTGCTGCGGCGCTGGGAAGCATTGCGTGGATTTCACAAAGTACTACAAGCCCCCTGCAGGCGCTCTCATGAAAACGTTCGGCACTACGTGGCTGTGCAAGGACGAACAGGGACGCCCAATACACGACACCATTCCCAATGCACCTCGATTGACTGGATTCTCAGCCATCAGCAGGCGCTGCAATAGTCTGTTCTCTTTCGCCGTGCACGAGATTCAAAGCACTACTTCAGAACGGGAGTTGCGATTCGGTAACGAGCTGCGGCCTTCCAATATCAGAATCCATGGCACGATGTACCGGCGGATTTGGAGCTGTGCTGACACTACGCCTCTACGCTACATTGTCGTCGACCCTCGGGGGCGCGTCACGAGCGCCACTGCGCACAATGTGGACCTCAAGTTGCTTCGGCGACTGGAGACACTTATCCTTCCGCACAATGGCTATGCGAAAGAGCTTCGACGCCTGTCGGCCCCGTCAGTACGCGGCGCCGCCGTGGCGGTCGAGCTCCAGTGGGACGAGGGCATCAACGAGCTCGCTGCGATTGTCCATGAAACACCCCAAGTGGACGTGTCGTCTCGGTCTGTCTTATTCCGAAGGAACTCGTGTCCCACACCGCAATACCTGAACCCGCTGAGCGCGCTCTACGAGCCCTTGAGTTACCCGCTCTGGTTTCCCCACGGCGGCCGCGGATGGAGCACCGACGTGCTCGCGAACGCGGGGCGGCGCCTCACGCAGATGT